ATTTATTTATCTACCTACCCATTCTTGGGTTTTCTCTTTCTTTCTTTCTTTCTTTCTTTCTTTCTTTCTTTCTCTCTCTTTCTTCTCCCTATCTCTACTGATACTTCCATGTTAAATATGACTATACGATTGATACTTTTGTTTATATTTTATTTATAAATTCTAATAAAGATTATTATTAAAAAAAGAATGAAAAAATGGACCCTTAACCTTACGTCTGCAGCCTTACGGTATAATAAATCAGAAGAAAGGAATGGGCAGCAGAGTTTAGAAGGAGACTATGTCTATTCTTTACCAATGCAAGGGAAATAATAAATGGCGCTTCTCAATTACTATGTAATGTATCAAGTAGGCTTGTTTGATTAAAAAATGGTTCAAAACCCGTTTCGGATGTAGGGGGCGCTGGCGATTTTGAAATGATTTCTGAAATAAAAGATCGGAAATATCAGAAATTTCCAAATCGCTTCATTAATGGCAGGTGTCTTGGCAACCCTCCGTGGCCTCCCCTGTTTTTCCAGCTGATCTTGACGTTTTTGTCCCTGACCAGGATTTGAACCGGGAGGCTTTTGTTTCCAAGGCGGGAGCCCTGCCAGTGGGCTATTTGCTGCCATTGACTTGCATGGGAGAATAGGAACCTTTATCTTCTCTTGAAAGTATTTAAAGTATTTTAAAGTATTTTAAAGTATTTTAAAGTATTTTAAAGTATTTTAAAGTATTTTAAAGTATTTTAAAGTATTTTAAAGTATTTTAAAGTAATAAAACATGTTCCTGGTTTTCCTTTCCCTGGTGAGTGGTGATGCAAAGACTCTGGGATGAGGTGGCCATGGCTAAGCACAGCTCTTCTTGAAGGCCACGCCCCCAGTGGTAGTGATTGCAAAAGGTCCTGTAGTTTAACAGCAGGACCTTTTGCAATCTCTACCACTGGGGGTGTGGCCTTCAAGAAGAGCTGTGCTACTGTTTAGCCACACCCACCTCATCCCTCTTTGCATCGCCGCCACTCGCCAGGGAAGGGAAACCACGAGATTTTAAAACCATTTGTTTAGGCTTTGCCAAAGTTGCTTAATGGTTCTGAAAATCAAAATAACTGTGGGAGACATCCGAAAATAATTCCGAACAATGGGTAAGTGGTTCAACGGCCTCTACATTGGCCTTCCTTTGTCGGTGATCCGGAAGCTCAAGTTGGTACAAAATGCAGCTTCTCGGCTTCTTGTGGGAATTCCAATGAGATGCCACATAACACCAATCTTATTACAGCTGCATTGGTTACCAGTTGAGCACCGGATCACTTTCAAAGTGATGGTACTTACCTTCAAGGCCTTGCGTGGTCTGAGGCCGATGTACCTGAGGGACCACCTCACCCCCCACCAACCCCAAAGATCCCTCCGTTCTGAGGACCAAGATTTATTAGAAATTCCCTGTGTCAAGACCTTGCGTCTAACAGCAACCAGACGCAGAGCCTTTACAGCAGTGGCACCATCACTCTGGAATACTCTGCCACCTGAAGTCCGTGCCTTGCGGGACCTATCAGCTTTCCGCAGGGCATGTAAGATATATCTGTTCCGACAGGCCTTTGATCTTTGATATTGTTGTTTTTAAATTGTTTTTAAATTGTTTTAAATTGTTTTTAAATTGTGTTAGATTTTAGCCTGTTCTTGTAAGCCGCTCCAAGCCCCAGAGGAGTGGCGGCATATAAGTTTGAATAATAAATAAATAAATAAAATTCAGAATTGCTCTTCCCACTATTCCTGCATGGTTCAAAGTTGGTTCAAAAGTCCAAATTCGGTAAGTTTTTCCGAATTTTAGGTTTTTCCAAACCGAACCTAACAACCCTAGTATTAAGATTAGAAACAGTACAGAAATTGCTTAGAAGATGAGAAGCCGCCAAATGAACATTAAAGGGTAATTTTGTAGGGTATTTTATATCATGAGAGAGCACATTAAACTAATACAGACAGATCAGAAGTTTTGAAGAGAATCTAAACACAGATTTCAGATAGCCCAACATAACATAGAGACTCATAAATCACAATGAGAAGATTAAATGTTGTATGAGAAAAACTAGTGACAGAATAAAAAAGAGAAATGGCTTGAAAAGAATAATGGAATAAAGATTAACCAAAAGTAAAGATTAGCCAAAGGGAGAAATTAAGATCCAAGACAAAAAGAGTAAGCTGAGAAATAAGAGAATATGGTAAGGAAAGGCGAATGAACAGAGCATCAAAATCCTAATTGCAGGATAATTACTGTCTTCAAAGTTGGCATTGTCTTGAGCAAGGATCTTCTGGAACTCTTTAGCCATGATGGTACTAGTTTACATCAGAATGCATCAAAGTAACACAAGCAAAATTAAGACCTCAATCTTGCTGGTGCTGAACAGCGTGGACCGTGACTCTACCCTGTGGAAGAGATATCTAGGGCAAAGCAACAAAGAAAGGGGGAGGAATGAGCACAGCAAAAGGAGCAAGAGATGATGAGAAAATGCAGAAGCTACTGGACCTTGTCCTTTGGTTTGGTCAGGTGTGGTTTTGAGGGAGGATTTGCTTTCAGCTTCAGTTATCTCACACAGTTGTTGGATGAGTAGAATACAAATAGGAGGGAGAAATAATGCCATCCATCTGCAGGAGTGCATCGGGAGTGAAAATCTTTGTTTACGCCCATTCATTTTAAATCTCAGGATTTTAAATTGAGCTTTTTTATTATTTTTTAAAGCAACACATTTTATTTTCAGTTTTTGCGAGCCTACAGACAGTCGGCTAAAATGCACGCAGACAAGCCATGCCTTTCACATCTCACATGGCCCGAGGCAGGCTGTATAAGCTGCTAAGCATAAGTTAGTCTAAGGCTTCAGGTTTTATTGTGCTACCCTTCCTGCATATCTGAGCACTGCTTCTGCCCTGCTGGGACATCATACTGGCTGTCAGAGATAGTAGATGGCAGGATGCCTTGACGCCCAAGGGACGTGGATAGAGGCTGCCATTCAGGAGTGCATGTCTGAGACAGTGATATATCCAATTTGGGAGGGAGGTGGTGGAATGAAGCACTCCGTGGAGTGTCATTAATTACCCAGAGGAGCCAGTCTGCCATCTCTCCACTTGTGGGCCAGTAATGAGGGACACTGCTGTTCCCAGTCATGGTTTAGGATACTGTCTGTCAGCTGACACATCTCCTGAAAATCATAGAAGCCCATTCCAAGATAATACAAATGTTGAATCAAGATCTCTGTCTTTGATAACTCCTGTCCACAAAGAGCCTGACAGGTTGCGCCCAGGTCGCAGGGAATCCTCTGGGCGTTTGCTTGACCTTGCCCTCTGCTCTATTCTGCCCTTTTATATCTCATCTCAGTGTCTCTGAAGCTTCCCTCTCTTCTGTTCTTCCCTCCATCTCTGTTTAGCTCCACCATTCACTGCTTTGAGAGCAGCCTGGTCACTTTTGCAGAGACAGTGGATTTCCTGTAGACCAGGCATGGGTAAACCCAGGATCATGGGCCAGATGTAGTCCTTTGAGCTCTTCTCTTGAGCCTTCATCTGCCTCAGTCCTTCTCTGCAGTGGCCCGTTGTGTCCCCGAACTGAGAGGAGGGCCAAGGCAGAGATTACATCACTGCCAAGCACTCTCCTGAGAGCTCTTGGGAGTAGCGTGTCTCTTCCTTCTCTCATCCTGGAGAAGGAGAGCCAGAAGAGAAACATGCTGCTACGTAGAGCTCTCAGAAGCTACATGACTCTTCCTCCCCTCAGCACTGCATCCCCAGGCTGAGAGGACCCTCCTGTTGGAGCTCAGCCTTTGATTGTGTTTCAGGATCAGGGTGCTTGGGATAGCCTAATGAGGGGATAAAAGTCCCAAGTACGGGAAATGTAACCAGGTGAAGCATTGTTTGGAATCAAGTTCAGTTCTCGTCCTTGTTTCATGGAAGCCTAGCTTGGAAGATTCATGCTTAAGTATTTCTTGTTCCATGGTTTTGATTCTTGGATTTTATGACTGCATACTCATGCCTTGGATTAATGTTTCCTGGTTTTCTGGATTATATTAGAGAAGTGTGGACTTAGTTTTCATGAACTTTGCTGAACTTTACCCTGGACTATTTTGTTCCTGCTCATCTTCTTACCTAATTGGATTTACCTATTTCTTTAAAGTGCTTCTTACTTTTCTGCTTTTTAATTATCTCTAATAAAAGGATTGTTTTCCTATTCAACATGTGGTGTTTAAATTCAGAAGGCTTTTCCTGTCCTGGAATGCAGCACCTCCTTCCAAATGCCAACTTTACACCAGCTGCCCCCCTTGTGCCAAAGGCCCCACCCACATCAACTGCCTTTGGCCTCCCCGTGTCCCCTCACTCCCAGTCAGGCCCAGACCGCTTGTCCCAATCTGGCCTATAATGTGTCCCACAGCCAAAAAAGTTTGCCCGTACCTGTTGTAGACTGTGGGTTGTGGGAGGGATTTGTCTGTATCTGAAGAGGAGGAGACATAAAAGAAGTTAATGAACATAGAGATTGGTGATTCAAGGGTTCTGGAAAATGGAGGTTGTATTTCTTGAGTAATGGAATTCAGCTCCTTATCAACAAGGACCCCTAGTTTAGACTCCACTGTTATGAACATGAGCCTTTTAATGTTATGGCATTGCCGCGAGATGCACCTATGCAAAACACTTCTGTGGTGTTTCTGGAACATGAAATACTTGCTGGAGATTTTTATTGCCTCGTAAATTAGTTAAATTATCTTCCCCACATAAGTGGTACCTAAATTTCCTACTTGACAGATACAACTGTCTTTCAGGCTGCAAAGGTCAACAACAATCTACACAAGCTCACTCTGACCCAGGGTGGCTTCAAACTCATGACCTTTCAGTCAGTAGTGATCTTAATGCAGCTGACTCCCAGCCAGCTGTACCACAGTCCCAGTGCTAGGAACTTGTTTTCTGCTTTTTGCCAATTTCTATCTCTTGAGCCAGGTGACTGTTGGTTTGCCCTGTCATGATGCTTCAACTCTCCTTTGTTTGTCATTTCAGTGGGTTCACCAAGAAGCCCAGTTAGCAAAACTACCCTGACGTTGATCAGTATCACTACCTGCGTCATCAGCCTGGTGTGTGCCTCCCATGTGAACTGCCCACTTGTGGTCAAGATAACATTGCATGTTCCAGAGCATCTTATTGCTGATGGTAAGTTATTATAATTTTACTTGCCACCCTGCCTCACCTGCTGCTTGATTTACATCACAAATTGTGTGTGTGTGTGTGTGTGTGTGTGTGTGTGTGTGTGTGTGTATATATATATATATATATATATATATATATATATATATGCTACTTCTACATTGGCATGTTTTAGACATGGCTTTTGTCATGCAGGGCTGGAAGGCAGCAAGGAATGTTAAGTGATAGCTGCCAAGCTGAGTGGACTCTGGACACCAATGACACACGCTACTTCTACTTGTTCTTCCTCATGCACACACAGAGAGAGGAAAAGGGCCTTCTCGGTGGTGACCTCCCGACTCTGGAACGTACTTCCAAAGGATATCAGGCATGCCCCAACATTGGCAGTCTTTAGGAGAAGCCTGAAAACGTGGCTGTTCCAGTGTGCCTTCCCGGAATAACGAAATAATTCCCAGCAAAATGTCCTTACAAATGCACTTTAACTACTGGATTGCGTTGGACTGCGCCCCTCACTTCTTAAAACCCTCCTACCAGATATATTCTACCTTGTTCTTGCCCAGAGTTACTTTTTAAATTTTAAATTATTACATTTGGCCTGACCATAGGTTTTTAAATCCTTGTTCGTTACTGTTATATGTGATTTATATTAATATGTATTGCATTGCATTGCATTGTTTTGTTTATTACTTTTTTGTTTTATTGATATGTTGTTGGGCTATGGCCTTATGTAAGCCGCTACAAGTCCCTTGGAGAGATGGTGGCAGGGTATAAAAGGGAGCAAGAAACCAAGAAAAGAAGAAGAGGAAGAGTCCTGCATGCACACACAGAGAAGAGGGGAATGACCTATGTAGCAGTACCTCATATTTCCAGCATTAGAGGCAACATACATGGGGACAGTCTTCCCACTCCTTGCAGAAAAACTGGGTGGAAGCATTGACTTTTCAAGTTCCTTCTGCTGCTAACTCTGGAAGGGAGGGCAACGCAACATCCCGCAGATTGGCTGCCACAGGAAGAGAGCTTTAAGAACAAGGATGACATTTTCTGGGAACTTCCCTGTGAAAATGGATGGAAAAACAAATGGCACTTGAGTCTCTTCCACACAATGAATTGCTTGTCCCACTGCCACCCTCTCATGGTGACATTACACTTCGAAAAAGAGTTCTTGTTTTCTTTTAACAAGCTGGGCAGCTTCCTTTAGTCAGGATAGTGCACTCTATCCCTCAGCCTTTCAGATGCCATTGGAAAGTTTTTTGTTCTGCTTTGTGATCATCCCTTCACACACAAAATTGGGTTATTGTTGCTCACAATAACACAACATAAAAGTAAAGGGGGGAAAGCCTCTGTCCAACTTTCATGCAATAAGTCTCTCTTCATGCAGTGGTCTTTGCTGTGGTCACACTCACTAATAGAGCTGCCTTCAGTTCTATTGTGAGAGGGACATTATGGGAGTGAGTCTGAAGCTGCCCTATAATCCAGTTTCAGAATGTGGATTAACTGCATTGGCTCAGTGAAATAGGAAATTATACTTTGCTATTTTCCACTTTGGATTTGGGCTGATTTTTAGTGATTTAGGGGTTGAGAACTTGTGGGATTCTGGGGTCCTCTCTAAAAGCCGCAAGCAGATTGTAGGCCAGATCTTGCCTATTCCTACTTATTAAAGTTGAGGTTTTGGCAACAGGGATAAAATAAAGGTACAGTTCACATTTCTCCCCAAATTACTTTCAGTGTGGCTAGTCAGAAAAATCTGCACAGAGAAATGGTGGTTAACTGCATGTAGCTCACCTAACTGTGTTTATGAAAAAATACTGCAACAAGATTGATAAATATCAAAGGAACTGAAGAACAGGAGGATCAAATAGCTGGAGGACAGACAATGAATGATGATGACAATAGCTGATGAAGATTTATGAATTAATTGAGAAGGGCACATTAACTAGGCTGACTGAAGATAAATATTTATCAACTTCAGTAGAGATTGGGAGTTACTAATTAATAATGATGAGGACATTTTAAAAATGTATTTGCAAAGTTTATTGGGAAAGTCTTGTGCAAAGTGGTTCAAAATGTGCCTTAAAGATACAGGCAGGGCCCACTGTTGTTCAAGCTCAGGTGCCTTACACAGACAAATGGCTTGCTATTTCCAGTACCAAAGCTGTAGTATTTTCTCTCATTTTAAGATCCAATAGCAGTAGGAGAAACATTAATATTAATATTCCTATTAACATTAATAGCAGTGGAAGAAACATTAACAACCGTAGATATGCAGATGATAACACTTTGATGGCTGAAAGTGAGAAGGAGCTGAGGAGCCTTCTAATCATGGTGAAAGAAGAAAGTGCAAAAGCTGGGTTGCAGTTAAACATAAAGAAAACCAAGATTCTGGCAACCAGACTGATTGATAACTGGCAAATAGAGGGAGAAAACGTGGAGGCCGTGACAGACTTTGTATTTCTAGGTGCAAAGATTAGTGCAGATGTAGACTGCAGCCAGGAAACCAGAAGATGTTTATTTCTCGGGAGGAGAGCAATGACCAATCTCGATAAAATAGTGAAGAGTAGAGATATCACACTGGCAACCAAGATCTGCATAGTTAAAGCATGGTATTCCCCATAGTCACCTACGGATGTGAGAGCTGGACCTTAGGAAAGGCTGAGCGAAGGAAGATAGATGCTTTTGAACTGTGGTGTTGGAGGAAAATTCTGAGAGTGCCTTGGACCACGAGAAGCTCCAACCAGTCCATACTCCAGGAAATAAAGCCCGATTGCTCATTGGAGGGAAAGATACTACAGGCAAAGATGAAATACTTGGGCCACATCATAAGAAGATAGGAAAGCTTAGAGAAGACAATGATGCTTGGGAAAATTTAAGGAAAAAGGAAGAGGGGCCGACCAAGGGCAAGATGGATGGATGATATCCTTGAAGTGACTGGCTTGACTCTGAAGGAGCTGGGGGTGGTGACAGCCGACAGGAAGCTCTGGTGTGGGCTGGTCCATGAGGTTATGAAGAATCAGAAGTGACTGAATGAATAAACAACAACAAGCAGTAGGAAGGAGGTCACAGCCCCTCACGATAGAGTATAAATAATGGTAGTACCTATTGGTATTGGCACACATTGTGTAACGTGAGTCAGTTTTATTGAGTCTGAGTTGATGTTTTTATATGCATATGTGTTTTATGTTATTCTATTTTATATTGTGCTTCATTTTTATGTTTGTTTTTAGGCACTGTGTGCCGTCTGTAAGCCATCTCGAGTTCCTTTGGAGAGATAGTGGTGGGATATAAGAATAAAGTTGTTATTATTATTGCTATTAATATTATCTGCTCATAGATCTTGTGGAGGACAGGAACCATCTTGTTGGTCAAGGTGCTTGACACAATCATGATGTTGGCTTGTCAAGGGCTGGCTTGGAAGACACACTAAAGTAGTTGATGTTGTAGCATAGGGCCATTATGTGCATCATCCTGACAGTACAGCATGCCAGGCCAAATGTTATGGGGCACAAGGAGTTCTGATGGGCCCAGTCAATCAAGTTGTCTAGCTTGGTAATGAAATATTATCCTGGATTGTTGGAGACTAGAGGCTTCCTCTGAACTATTACAACAGTCTTTGGCTGAATGGAGGTGGGACTTTCCACACTATCCAAGGAGGCCATCTGCTGCACGGAATGGGCATTGGATATCATGATCAGCCTCAGAAAGAGCTACCTGCAGGGGGGCACATAGGAAACTGCCAGGGCCCCTATTTTCTGAAGGGGGCATTGGTCATGTGAGGTTTAGAAATTAGGAGAACATTATTAAAAATAGAAGTGCAATTATATATCACTCAAAGGGAATAGAGTAGTTAGAAATAAAAAGCAACAAATAACTAGTGAGAGATTCATAGATTAATCTATGTATTAATCAGATGAGTTTTTGTGTGTATGTACACTTGTTTGTTTACCTTTTGTGTTTGCGTTTGTTATTTGTAGTAGGCATTCAGTTATATTGCAAGAGTTGTACCTAGAATTTAGATTAGTAGTTTTTTTAATAAATCCACACACACAACCTTCCAATCTGTTTGTTTATTCTACAATTACTGTGTTATGGAGGTTTTTTTCCCAATAAAAACTAATTATTTAAAAATGGTCTTCAAAGGACATTGCTAGAGGCATGTTACAGTGTTTTTCAAGTATTACACCATTACCTTATCAATATTAGCATTTTCTGTCTCAAAAACGATGGAAATGAATAGAAAGGTAACAAACAGTGAGACAAGCAATAAAACAAGTGTCAAAGAGTCATTTTTAATGAGTGTCAAAGAGTCATTTTTTTCAAACACTGTAAAACTAATAGGAAAAATATCTTCCTGGTTCTGTCATTCTTTCAGTAATAATTGGAAGAATGAGAACTGCAGCATTTAAAGCACAGACTGTCTGTATTCCAAGAAGCTTCCACAGGGGACAATATGGCTTATGGGTAATAGACCTGCATATTTCTTTCTGAGAGTTGGTTCCAGCTTCCCAACATGTAGGAACAAATGCTCTCCTGTGAAAATGCTGAGTTGGGTGCCCATGACTTTACCAAGCAAGGTCCTCCTCACATTCTGTTTACAGATGGGAAGAGGGGGAGATAAGGGATAGGAAGATAACAGTGATGGTGTGCTGATATTCCCCTGTAAATGAACAGTCAACAAGAGCTTTAGCTTCACAACCCAGCACTAAATGCAAGTATGACCTATTTCTCATGGAGGAGGTAAACCTACCCCTGGGCCATAGTACTCTGAGTGTATGTGTTACATGACTGAACATCCTTCAGTAACTAAGAATAATAAAACCTTTCCATTGAAAAGTGCATGTCAGTTGGAAATAATGAGTGAACTTATCTCCTGAAATACTGATTTCCATTTGCCGTGAATTATTTTGTTCGGAGATGTATTCAGTAATGTGAGCACCTACCTGCAGTCTGAAGTGGAACATAGACATAGGTTTGCTGTTTCAGTGAGAGAAAGGGTCGTTTTTTTAGATTTGGTTAGTTGAAAGCTATACATAGTGGCACAACAGGTGCCTGGGAGCCAGTGAGGAGATCGGATTTATATAGTTACATGACACTGATTTGAGAAAGGAAATTGGGTTTCTTAGTGGGAGATTTAGGACCTGAACCAATTATGAGGATCCCAGTCTAGACACTCTGTGCTTTCATTTTGTTAAAACTGTGAATCCAGATTTGCTTTGCTTTAAACCAGGTCATTGCACAGAGCAATTCATAAGCACTCAGCTGTGCTCATACAGGGGAGAGACAGTTTGTGGTGCTCCAGACTGCAGCTCCTATAAGCCTTAGCCAGCATACTTAGTGGTGATGGATAATAGAAGTTCAACAGCATCTCTAGGCAACTTGTTATCCTGCTTTAGTATACTGGGTTGAAATGCTTAGTGTCAGATCCTCAGAGCAGTGATGTTATTTCTTCCATTCTTTCTTCTGAAATATTTAGGCACTGGTTCTTCCAAACATGTATTGTGAATGTGCGACCCCTGCCATGGAAGGTATATTTTCAGGGATGTTTTCAGAAGAAAGCATGTGCTAAAGCCACTGAATGCACTTTGCTTTGCTTGTGCGCCAGCTGCGCCCGTACCTTGGGAAGTCTGACTTGGCCACAGTAGTCCACGCTCTGGTTACATCCCATATAGACTACTGCAACACTCTCTACGTGGGGTTGCCTTTGAAGACTGCTTGGAAGCTTCAAATGGTCCAGCGTTCGGCAGCTAGGTTGCTAACAGGAGCGGCACTCAGGGAGCATACTACTCCTCTGTTGTGCCAGCTCCACTGGCTGCCAGTTTGCTACCGGGCACAATTCAAAGTGCTGGTGTTAGCCTATAAAGCCCTAAACGGTTCTGGCCCTACTTACCTCTCTGAACGCATCTCCTCCTATGAACCAACTAGGACACTAAGATCATCTGGGGAGGCCCTGCTCTCTGTCCTGCCTAAATCACAGGTGCGCTTGGCGGGGACGACAGACAGGGCCTTCTCAGTGGTGGCCCCTCGGCTGTGGAATGCCCTGCTTGCAGATATCAGATCGGCCCCCTCCCTGCTGGCGTTTCGGAGGAAAGTGAAGACCTGGCTGTTCGAACAAGCATTTGATTAAACAGTGTAATTGAACATAGGAATACGGAATAATGGATGATGAGACTGGATTCTGATTTTACTGTTGAGGCACTAATTATTGTTATACTGATGTTTAATGATGTATGTTAAAATCGTTTTTAATTGCCCCATACTTGTCTCATGATGTTTTGTATGAATGTTGTTCACCGCTTTGAGTCGCCTGAGGGCTGAGAAAAGCAGTATATAAATAAAGTAAATAAAATAAAATAAAATAAATAAATAAATAAATAAATAAATAAACAATGAAACCCATTTGTTTATTTGTGGAGACATCTGTATGCTGAAAGTGGTTTGAAAGGGAAAAAAACTTGGGTATTTTGACATATGACATTTAAAATGACTTTTACACCTATGTAGGCCTAAATGCTCATTCACATTTCAAAAATATTTTGCATTGTCTGGTGTTTACAGTGAATAGAGTTCCACATAAAGGCCAAGGGAAAATCAGGTGGGTTAGAGCTGGATCAGAGGCAATTTAGAAAATATACTCAGAAAATACATATGGAAATATATTCTTTGGAAGTATGTTGGAATGCTACATGTACCTCCAATTTCTGTGTACTTTTTCAGGGAGCCGGTTTATCTTGCTAGAGGGCAGCCAGTTGGATGCCAGTGACTGGTTAAATCCTGCCCAAGTGATTCTCTTTTCCCAGCAAAATTCCAGCGGACCCTGGGCCTTGGACTTATGCGCCCGACGTCTTCTTGACCCGTGTGAACACGAATGTGACCCTGATACTGGTAGGTGGGTGAAATGTGAAAAGTGGGGCATCTGTTGTGGTCTGAAGGGGTTTTTCCATGCATGCATAACTGACAGAATCAGGAGAGCTGATATGAAAAAGTTATTATTATTATTATTATTATTATTATTATTATTATTATTATTTAGAACATTTTTACCCTGCCCTTCTCAACCCCTGGGGGACTCAGGGCGGCTTACAATTGACAACAATTCAATGCCGCTTCATAAAATACAAATAGCAAAAATAACAATTAAAACCCTGAACATTAAAATAAAAATTAAACAGTATACTTACAATCCATTTCGCTATTGCCAGTCTGGTGGCTATTTATCTAGCCATATACTAATGATTACTCCGCTTCACTTTTCCAAATCCACTTCCAAGCCATAGTCAAATAGTATCCATTGTTCTTTAACCTGATTGCCCGAAGGCCTAGTCCCACAACCACGATTTTACCTTCTTTCTGAAGGGGAGGAGGGATGAGACGTTGCGAATGATTTAGTGTAATTGTATTATTGATAGTGATGTTGTTATTGTTGTTGTTTGTGATATTGCCTTTATTGTAAATTGTTTTTATATGTTGTACACCGCCGTGAGTCGCCCTAGGGCTGAGAACGGCGGTCTACAAGTGCAGTAAATAATAATAATAATAATAATAATAATAATAATAATAATAATAATAATGACGATGCTCTAATTTCCCCGGGAAGCGTATTCCACAGGGGGGCTACCACCGAGAAGGCCCTGTCCCTCGTCCCCGCCAAACGTGTTTGAGACAAAGTTGCATGAACATACAAAGCTGTCCTGTACTACATACCATAGTTTGGTATTGAAACCTGTTCTGTTATCTTTGGGTGAAGGTCTTTCCTGCCAACAGAGATACTTTAACTGTATGCTCAGAGTAGAGCCTTAAACCCTATATACCTAGTTAGAAAGACCTTAAAAAACAACAACAAACCTGAGTGCTGCTAGAGTCCAGTTCTGCTTTGACAGACATTACCCCTGTGGTGAGCCCCAGGTGGCGCTGTGGGTTAAAGTACTGAGCTGCTGAGTATAAGGACTCCTTAATTGGCCGTCTGGGCAGGGGGGTCAAAGAATCCCACCACTGCCACCAAATTATAATGATATAATTTCTTTGATGACCAAACAATATCACTGGACAGGGGGCAAGCAGATCCCAACACTGTACCTCCTTCAATAAGGAATTCACACCACTTTGGCTCTTATAGCGTTTGAGGGAATGTCTCTTTATTTAAAACCTTCGCTGCCACCATAAACTGAAGAGTCACGAACCCTCTAGCTATTTAGAATGGTAAAAGGCTGTTTAAATTATTAAAAGGCTTTTTTACTCCACCAAATACTATGTATTATCAAGGGCTTTCTTTGAGGGGAAACAGGAGAGGTTGATTCAACAAGGAAAAGGACTCCAACCAAAAATGGCACTTGAATCAGGCTTAAATTTTAAAAATAACAAGAAAGAGTTTATTGAATACAAGTTACAGAATATAAGTGAATGCAGGTTCAGAGGCTTGGCTGTTACAATAAAAGTGTTCTTAGTTCTTAGAAGCGTATCGGTTACTTGAGAGAATGGTTCTATTCTTTGTTACAATTCCTAACACAAAACCCAGCTATTTTCTTTTCTAAAATAGCTGTAACTCAGTCTGCCACAGCCTACTTTGCTGTGCAAACTACAGGCAAGCTGCCTATTCCTAACAGAGACTCCTAAAAACTCCAAATCCTACTCTAACCTCACTCAGAACTGAACTGAACTCTACTGAACTGTCAAAATTATCTGCTCTCTTTCCCTCCAACTGACTAACTCCGCCCCCCTTTTCCAAACCAATCCTGGCTGTTGCTGGGCTGGCTCAGGCCTCGGCCACTCCCCCTCTCTGAACTGGAGCTTTTCCCTAAACTAAGATGGCTCCAGCAGCTCTCTGCCAGGCCTTCTAAGCTGAAACTACCTAGCCTGTCTCTTCCTGGGCCCTGCCACCCTGGCTGGCAAGGTAAGGGATCTTCACACTGAGCTTGTTGCCGAAAAGTTGCAGGTTCAATTCCAGGGAGCGGCGTGAGCTTCTGCTGTCAGCCCCAGCTTCTGTCAACCTAGCAGTTCAAAAACATGCAAATGTGAGTAGATAAATAGGTATCACTCTGGCGGGAAGGTAACGGCACTCCATGCAGTCATGCCAGCCACATGACCTTGGATGTGTCTATGGACAATGCCAGCTCTTCGGCTTAGAAGTGGAGATGAGCACCACATCCCAGAGTCGGACATGACTGGACTTAATGTCAGGGGAAAATCTTTACCTTTACTTACCCCTGTGGTACCAGACTCCACCCTCTGAATTTAGATATGGATGACATGGGTCTAGTCAGCCCTACATCTTCTGCATCTCCTGCATGCATTCCCAAGTGACAACACTTTGGAAGCATACATGATTCACTTGCCTGTATCTGCATACTGCTGCAGAGCTGGCATTCCATTTATTAACAGCCATCTGCTATGGCAGCTGCCAACCCCAGCAGGCCTCTTGGAGGGAGGCCTTAAGCACCCTCATTTGGGGAGGGGGGTCTTTTTTAATTCACAGGTTTTTCTCAATGTTCTGGGAAAATGTGTTTGTTCTGTTAAAAAACCAAAACAAAAGAGAAGCGCTTCTGTCAAGCCTGTTGTTCTTTTGGCTGTATTCTAACCCGATTGCTGTGTAGACACTGATTGTTTTCAGAAAGATTAGCATGGTGGATTCAAGTCAGGCTCCAGGGCAAACCTTTTACACTTAGAGGCAATGCCTGGTGGTTGTTGATGTTGTGTTTTGTGCTGGTAGACTTGCACTACAAGCCAGACATCCTTCCTCCTCATTAATTGCATCCCTAAAATTGCTGGGTTGAAGGTGATAAAGATGTCTATATAGGCCCTTCAAGACAATGGGGAAAACATCTGGTCAATGTTCCTCTTTTTTCCAGCTTGGCTACACTTCTATTCTACATCCATACTCCATTTTTGCACATATTAAAATGGATGCTGCCTGCTTCTGTTTCCAGGAATCTGCAGATGGGAGGCATTCAGTCAACACTGGCATTTGGAAAGGGAATAGAGCAAGATGCCTCTAATCCATCCTAAAAAAATCCACACAGAACTGTCATTAGAACAAACCAGTAGCACTTCCAAAACCAGACTGATGTGATGAAACAAGTAGGAGAGCAGGCTCTTTTAGAACCACATTGTGAAACAACTAGGAACCTTTTGCTGGAATGCACTGAGTGCTAAAGTGTGTGTGGAGGAAGTCTCCAATTCCTTTGAGATAATACTTACCCCCTCTGGGAGCTTTACACTTCCAGCAATTTAATTTACACAGTTTAAGAATAATAGTTCTGGCAAGAATTCTTCTATCCAGATAGCCAAGGGATTTGAAAGAACTGATTACCTTCTGATTCCTCTTGCAAGGACTTCTGCAGCCTGCTGATTTTCTCCCGTGCTTGCCCACTAGGTCATCTAGGGAAGCCATTTGGCTCTGATTCATGGTGCTTGCTAGTGCCACTCTCCTCTGCCTGCATCCCTGCCAGAATATATACATCACCTTACTGGATCTTGCAAGATGATAGCATTTACTTCCTTCGCTGATTCTTGCATGTAGGATTGCCAACTTCTATTAGTCTTCCTCCTGTGCTTTTAACGGTAGCCTATCATTTAGAAATTAGGCAGCGGAAATGTTTCCTTTTACTTTAATCCCACAGAGGAAAGCAAATAAAAAATGAAGAGAAGAAAGAAAGTCCTAAGTCAATCATATCACAAACATTGTCACATTATGGCTCTTTTTCATTGAAGACACTCAGCTGTTTTAAGACAAAGGCATCTAATAGTGGGTCCAATTTATGCAATTGGTAATGTCCAGAGCCTGTTATACAGGAAATGGCATCAATATTTTTATGTATTACTAGCTGTTCTCTGCCACGCTTTGCTTTGGCCCACTCTGGTGGTCATGGGGGTTCTGTGTGGGAGGTTTGGCCCAATTCTATCGTCAGTGGGGTTCAGAATGCTCTGTGATTGTAGGTGAACTATAAATCCCAGCAACTACAAGCCCCAAATGTCGAGATTCTATTTTCCCCAAACTCCACCAGGGTTCACATTTGGGCATATTGAGTATTCGTGTAGAGTTTGGTCCAGACCCATCATTGTTTGAGTCCACAGTGATCTCTGGATGTAGGTGAACTACAACTCCAAAACCAAAGGACACTGCCCAACAAATCCTTCCAGAATTTTCTGTTGATCATGAGAGAACTGTTTGTCAAGTTTGGTTCAATTCTATCGTTGGTGGGGTTCAGAATGCTCTTTGCTTATAGGTGAACTATAAATCCCAGCAACTACAACTCCCAAATGACAAAATCATAGTTTTTTGAGTGATGGTCACTCCTTGTATTGTGAGACGTTTTGTTGCCAAATTTGGTGTGATTTTCTTCATTTTTTTTGTTTTTTGTTTTTAGGGTACTCATTATGCACAGAACATTTATATATATATATATATATATATATATATATATATATATATATATATATAGAAGGGCATAACAAAGACTCTTGCTGGCTTGGGCCAAGATTTATCTCATCCTAAATCTTATTTTTATCAATGGTCAGTCAAGGGTACATTCTCCCTCCCCTTGAAAGTTTCATCACTACCATTTCAACTATCGTGGCCAACTTTTATTTTTAAAGTTGGCCCTGTAAGCAGCTACCACTGTACCTTCATGACATATTACACACATACATACACATAACATAGTACAATAACAGTATTATATATTACTATATTGTATTACATTATAATATTATAAATATTATATGTATATACAATATATTATATTATATTATATTATATTATATTATATTATATTATATTATATTATATTATATTATATTATATTATTATATTACTAGCTTGAGTACCCGGTGGTGCCTGGGTTATTTGAAAAAGGCATTGTTTGTCTTGGGCTGTTGGTTAATATCATTTAGTTACTCTGTATTTGCTGTGTGCCATAGGAAAGTGTAGGAAAGGGTTAAGGGAGAGGCAATGGGCATGGTCATGCAAATTCCACACCAGTGGAGAGAGAACAGAACCCTGGGATGCCTGCCTTTGGTGGAGGAAACACCTAAAATCAATGATGAAATTGTCTCAGAATGGAAGCATTCCTTGGGTGGCAGGGTGTAGTGTTTGGGAAGGACATTGGCAGGGGTTGAGCTACATGGTCATGGCACTCGCTCTAAACTGCAATGTCAATGGAGGGAGTGCCTTTGGAGGCTTCTCAGCACTTGGAACTATAGCCTGTTTGTGGAGGTGGGAGGCTGTCTATGTAAGTGGACACCTCTGCCACATGCAAACATTTTTACTTTTATTATGTGTATAGATTAGTAAAGCCCAGGAGACAAGATGGAACTGTCTTCAACTATAGCCCCCTCTCTCTTCTCTATGGCCAGAGAAGCAGTTGGTGCCGGGGGGGGGGGGGGGGGCCTCCCAACTGATGATATATTCAAAAAATATTGAATTCTGGGCTGCAAACTGTTAGACCTTCTAGATATTGCTGAAGTGCAACACCATCATTCTGTTCTGTAAACTGACAACATTTGTGTCATGAATAACTTTTCAATAACTTTAAAGCATAGGTTCTTTTTATTGCAATTTCCACTGTGAGAGGGGACATCAGATTACAGAAAAACATTTAGACAAACAAATTCTACGCAACTACATTGGATGTACAACTTACAGTTACATTGGACTAACAGACAGACAAAGGGTAATTACATTTTCACTCAACATTCACACCACATGTACATGATCCAAATATTACCTTATCCATTTCTCCCTCCTTGGAGAAGCACCTGTTAGGCCAGACCCTGCTTTCCTGCAGCCTGCCAACACATAGTTCCAAAACTTCCATAACTTCAAGTCTTTAAAATGCATCCTTCGCCAAGCACAATGCCAAAGACCAGATCTCTGTTTTCCATACAGCAGAACCTGACTCCCTGCTCAAAATCCAAGACTCCAAAAGTGCACTTCTTCCTCTTCTCAAGAAGGGCAAAGTGACCAGATTGCTCCTGTGCAGATCTGCCACTTCCCATGGAGTAGAGCATGCCGAGTGAAACAGACTCCTCAGGTCTGTCACAATTTGAGAATGGTTAATTTACAACTTTGGAACTACATTAGCAGAATATTCCTATAAAACAGTGGTTCTCAACCTGGGATCCCCAGATGTTTTTGGCCTACAACTCCCAGAAATCCCAGCCAGTTCACCAGCTGTTAGGATTTCTGGGAATTGAAGGCCAAAAACATCTGGGGACCCCAGGTTGAGAACTACTGCTATAAAATATTCTGCTAATGTAGTCCCAAAGTTGTAAATTAATGATAGATGTTTTCCATCCTGGATCCATCTCAGTTTCCTGGCCAGATGTTGATTCTTCTTGATTGGTGTTGACAAAACACAAGACTTTTGTTGACTTCCTTCTTAACAGGAATGTTGCAAACATTTCCTTAGCTTGAAAGAACCATTGTCACAGTCCTTATCAGAGTTTACTTTTCAGTTCTTATTAGCGACTTTTAATTACAGTCCAACAAGCAGGTAGTTAGTCATTGCAGGCCTTAATATTATACTGGTGTCTCCAAAATTATTAACTCCATCCATCCATCCTTCCATTCTTCCATTTATTCCCATACATCATTAAATTCACATTGATCAAATCTGCGATGATATTTTCATGACATTTGAGAGAAATAAGGTTGAACACTGTGAAAGCCACCCACTACATGTCTACCAGCCTCTTCCCAGTAGACTCAAGTCAAGGAAAAGCTTTATGAGAACTACCACTCCTCTTGGCATCCCCCCAGCAACAGCAAGGGTATCCCTCTGGGCAGCTAAATCAGGAAGTCCCAACTGGATGGCCCCCACAAGGGTCTTCCTCCAGGGGCAAACCAAGAATGGGCAACATCGAAGTCCCTGAATAGACTCAGAAGCGGAGTGGGCAGATCAAAAGGCAACCTGGCAAAATGGCACTACCTTAAAGAATCCCACACTTTATGTGACTGTGGAGCAGAACAGACAACTCCACTTCTGTATGCTTGCCCACTATGCCCTGCCTCATGTACAGAGGAAGAATTGTTGGAGGCTACAGACAATACCGTTGCTGTTGCCCGTTTTTGATCAAAAGTTATTTAGCCGCCTGCACACCTTCTGTTTTATCAGTTTTATGCTAACTTATGCAATGCTTTTGTCACAAAATAAAATAAAATCCAAGAAAGCCTGGACTTGTATTGCCACAATGGGAGACCGCTTGATAGTTACTTAGGGTGGTGCCCCCCCGCCTCACCTTTAGCATTACTTCTTTTAGAGAGGTTGGAAGATAGCCCTTTTTCAAAGAAGCATTGCAACATCACTCAATTTAGCAATCCTCCTTTGGTTGCTTTGATTAGCCAGGACAGACATGGGTAAAACAGACAAATAGTTGACTGTCTCTCCAAGCACTGCATCATCCCAGATACCTGCAAGGGAGAAAGAATTGTGACCTTGGGTGTAGCTTGCCTTTCTTGGAGTAAATCCTTATGCAGGTAGTTTCAGTATCCAAACTTAGTCCTCGCCTTAACTTTTGTCTGGGCAATGCAGCAGAAATATTGATCCTTTGAATGCAATCAGTATTTTAGAGGAGATGGCAGAGAAACAACCAGACACCTCTCTATTTCCCGCTGCTTTCTTGTAGCCCCATCTGCTCCATCACCCCTGAGTGACCTCGGTGAAGCAGTGATCACAGAAAGGTAAAAGGCATCAGAAAGGAGTCGAACCTTTTAAGATGTGATGACCTTTAAAGGTCTCCAATGCAGAAATACAAAATGTGTGAATATGTGTTATTTTTCATTTTCACAATTGAATTATTAAAATTGTTAGTCTAATATGTGCATTTAGGAGTACTATTTTTTTCCTGACATATGAATTTATGTGCAATTTATGTGCAGTTTTCTCTAATCAGTGCATTTTCAATGCATGTTTAAAACTGGGAAAACCAAAGGATAAACTGAATTCTTGTTTCTCTAGTTGCTTGTGAAATGTAAATAGAATAAATACCTCCCATAGCTCTCCTTGTATAATACTAATTGATTTGCAGAATTGTTAATTTTATTTACAGAAGCAATTTAAGAAACTGGCCTACCCAAATGTCAAGCCTGAAGAGGTGACAAACCGCTCCTCACAAAAAGTTATATCATACTCCATTAATATTGGGCAGGGTGCTATTGTGCTTCTGTAAAAAAACCAAATCTTTTTTACCTTCTTGAGAAGCAGGGACAATTTACTGTCAGTGCTTTTGGAAGAGACTTGAGAGGGGAATGGAAAATTGTCATAAGCCACTCAAAAATAAATGTAAGAAATCATCTGTAATTGAGTCAAATCATGTCATATGTAGTTATATGATCAACAGATGCAAGGTTCTTGAGATTCTAATAATCAGTTGTGTGTGTACACATACATTTTGCTGTTCCATTATCCTTTAGATCACTTTGCTTACCATTTTTGATATCCGTCCCATGATTTTTGCAATGCAGTGGGCAGAAGTGTATACAGTGTTCTAAATATCTCATCCCTGCAGACTGATATAATAGGCCCTATATTATTTCTGATTCCTTTCCTAATGTGTTCTAGCACAGCATTTATCTTCGTCTGTGCTGCCACACACTGAGTTGATGGCTTCAGCCACAAACCCAAGGTCTTTTTCCTAGGGAGCCACATAACTCATTCATTTATTTCCCTGTTTTGTTTGTTTTTCCATTGCTAGGTGAGTGCTTTTGCTATGAAGGTTATATGAAGGATCCAGTGCACAAACACCTTTGCATCAGGAATGAATGGGGCACAAACCAAGGGTAAGTGATTTTTATTGATCTTTGTCATAATTGTTTGGCTTGAGCAAAGTGAATGGCTCTCTTTTGTCATGGTCCAAACCATCAGGCTGAATGGCACATAGTGTGCCCTTAAGGATTAAGTCTTACAGTTTATTCACTTAATGTTGGTAGAGAGACAGTTAAGCATCATTGAACCAGGGACAGGGGCGGCTCAACCCACTACGCAAAGTAAGCATTCGCAGTATAGTTGATTTTGCCCAGGGGCGCCCTTGAGGCGCTCTTGGGGGAAAATAGACCGTGACATATTCGAGTTGTAGTTACTGGGATGTATAGTTCACCTAAAATCAAAGAGCATTCTGAACTCAACCAATGATGGAATTGAACCAAATATGGCACACAGAACTCCCATGACGAACAGAAAATATATATCAATGATTGGTTGGGGGGGGGGGCAAAATACTGTTTGCTTACCATTGAAAATTACCTAGGGCCGCCTCTGACCAGGGAGGCAACTTATTGCCAGAGAAGGAGCCCAAGGAGGTCCTGAAGTAAAATGTCTCAAAATAGCCTGGACTAGACAATTGACCTGAGCCAGCAGATTTTTAGTGTGACAAGTAGTGTGTCAGGAGGAGAGCCTATTGCTGAGTATTTACAGCAATGGTTCTCATACTTAGATCCTTCATATATTTAAACTTTCAGAATCCTGGTCACTGGCAAAGCTGGGTGTGGCTTCCTAGAGTTTAAGAAATCTCGAGGGCCAAATATTGAGATCCATTGATTTACATGGTTCTGGGTCTGTGGAAGTGCTCCTTGTTTGGTTACTACAAGTGCAGGGCATGAGGTCAAGTCTTCCCTCTGTGTTGTCTTCCTGGAAGTCCTCCTTACAAGTCCTAAGGGTACAGTGGGAGACTTGGCTGCTCTTGCTTGATGTGAGTTGGGACCACTGATTTTTTTTTAAAGTGGGATGGGTTTCAGTACTGACAGGCTGGTTGCTATTAATTTTACCTATTTACATTTACTCCCAAAGGTGAGGCACATTACTTTTTCAATCTGTAATCCTTCAATTTTTTTTAATTTGAAGATTATTATAAGCACAATGTATACTTAGAAGTGCCCTCCAGTGCAGCTTATTTCCAAGTGAGAGAACATAGAGTATATTGCAGACAGTCTATTATTCCTGGGGACTTAAAGACAATAGCTTTCTTAGTATTTCATCATTTAGTACCCATATGATTCATAATACCCGGGGAGACTCAAACATAGGAGTTGTAGTTATCCAGTTTCGCCAGATTTTTTTGATGGAGGGAGGGAGATTCATCTTGAGGGCTTGAACCTACCCTGCTCTGATTCAAGGGTCCATGGAACTGACAACGAAGAAGACTCTGAACATACTGAGAGTCAACAAATTGTAACCACTGTCTTTACATGTGCAACAATGCAGACTTGGCATTAACATGATTCCAGGGTTTGGCTCCAGGAAGCTCCAGCACAAAATTTAAGAACTGGAGGTTGTTTGGGTGAAAAGCAAAGGGGATCATGCATTTTTCTTTATGACATTACAGTTCTTAAGAGTACGTTCGAATATACTCTGTTTTATAACTTAACACTAATTATGGAAACATAATGAACTCAGAGTTAGTTGAGCAATGAAATGATGTTTCTGTGTCTTCATACTGAGTTTGTAAAATTTATCTTTCCACTTACCAGAAGCTGAAACAATAAAGTATCTGTGGATTGTAGACTATAACTTGTAGCTCTTTGGTAGAGTGTAGAAGCAAATGTATTTTCACTGCTTTTGAGTAGTTGTTGTTACTGTTGAGTCTGTGGGTGTGTGTATGTATGAGAGAGCGGGAGAGAGAGAGAGAACATTGCCCCCTAGTGTTCATTGGAACATTTCACAGAATACGGTGTAAATTACAGATTTCTCAATTTTGTAGGACTGTAGAATAGTCATATTGTTACACAAAGATTTCAGATTATCTGAAGATGAGCCATGTTGATCCCAATAGGAGGGAAGATTATGGTGCCATTGAAGGGACAATGATGAGGTGGGTGAATGAATTCTGTGAACAGAAAGATGGGGTAGTCATGGGGAGCCCTCTTAGCCCTGTCACATCAAATTTTTACATGGAGTACTTTGAGAAACAAGTGCTGGAAACAGCAATAAAAAAGCCCACTATATGGTTCTGATATGTGAATGACACATTCACCTTTTTGAGCCATGGAGAAGAAGAACTAAACAAGTTCCTGGGCCACATCAACAACATCCACCCAAACAACCAATTTACCATGAAAAAATAAAATGAAGAAAAATTACCATTTCTAGATGTCCTAGTATTGTAAGAAGACCTCCGCCAGGTGGATCAATAATTGGGCCATATAGTTTACAGAAAACCTACGCACACTGATAGATACCTACTTAAAAACTCAAATCATCATTCAGGTCAAAAAAGAAACACAATCAAAGCTTTGGTAGACCATCCAAACAGGATCTGTGAACCCTACCTCTTCCAAGGTGAACTGAACCACCTAAATTGGGCTCTAGGAGCCAATGGGTACTTTACGACAGACTTCAGAAGAGTTGCAAGACCAAGAACAAGCCATGGGAGCGCAAAGACAAAGATCCACCTAGAAGAAAAGTGTTCTTACAATACATCAAGGAAACCACTGACCACATAGAGAAGCTTATGAAGAACCTACAAACAAGGTACAGATCCACCAAGAAAATTCAACAAATGCTACGGTAAGCTAAGGATAAGAGGCATTATCTAACCGCTGCAGGGGTCTACTGTATACTATACAGCTGTGGACAAGTCAACATAGGGACCACCAAACACAGCACCCAATCACAAATCAAAGACACTGCAGACTAATACAACCAAAGAATTCAGCTATAGCAGAGCACTTGATGAACCAACCTGGGCAAAGAATATTATTTGAGAACACAGAAATGCTGGACCACTCTGACAACCATCATGTCAGACTACACAGAGAAGCCATTGAAATCCACAGGTACATGAACAATTTCAACAGAAAGGAGGAAACAATGGAAATGAACAAAAGCTGGTTACCAGTATTAAAAAACACCAGAATGAAGATTGTAAATAAGGAACACCACCCAGAAACAGTAGTACTCCAGACAGCAATCAATCATGTGCCAGTTAACACATCCCAAACAGAGGATGTCTCTTGGTAACAGAGGCCAGGCTATGTCTATGCAGATACCCTCACTGATTGACTTTGCAGCTTCGTGGCTACTCAATGGTATTCAAGCTTGCTAATTGCAACAGTCACACTTGCTTTAAACAGAAAGGAGTTATTTTTCCCACTTTGGACATTCCACAGGTATGTATACACTCCACTTGCTCCATTGCCAACAAAACCTCTGAAGATGGCAGCTACAGATGCATGCGGAATGTCAGGAGAAAATGCTGTTGGAACATAGCCATACAGCCTGAAAAACTCACAGTAACCCAATCCAATGATAGCTTGCACATCTATGAATCATTTTAAGGTAGAATTGTAGTATGGAAGAAATTGCCGCATAACATGCATCCATTGCATGTAAAATGTCCCAAGTTTAGTGCTTTGGACTGGGCTAGTTTGACTCAGCATAAGGTTGCCTCATACATTATAGCCATTCCTGGTCAAGAAAGGAGGACCTTTCCAAGGCTCTTCAAAGAGAGAGAACTCTGTGGAAAGGGAATACAGATCAAAGATATTGGTGAGAGGGGAGAAAAATACAGCACAGCTACACAATTCTTGGGATTGTATTTGCTCAGAGAATGAGAGCAAGAGAGCAATTGAGGCAGAAACCATCCTCAGAGAAAATACAAATTTGTCTTTTGAAGTGATGTGCTGTAGCTTGGGTTATATCTATTTCCTTGATTGATCAGCCTGTTTTTCTCCCAAAGAAATGGCTATGTGTCTGCCAACTAATTAAAATAAATTCATGGCCTGGGAAAAGTGAGAATGGCCCATGGGCTAGAAAACTATAGAGGGTCCCTGGTCACCAAGCTTTGACTCACATAAATAACTTTCTTGTGTTCACACATGCATGTGTACAGTCAACAAAAATGCAAAGAAAAGTTATGTTCTCATTGCCAGTTTACTTTCCCAAGAGTGGTGTGCAGTGGAGACGTATCTATCAGACAGACATTAATTGGCTGGTCTGCTAAGTTCTCCATAAGACAAGGTTTGATTTTGGAGAGTTGGGAATAAACAGTAGCAGTTTTTTTTGGGGGGGGGGGGACACTTGAGGGGGGCACTTAACTAAAAGTTAATGGTCTTAATTATGAAGCATTCTTACCGAGATGTTTCTTCTGCAGTGTTCTCATTAGAATGTCTGTCTCTCTCTCTCTCGTTGTCAGACACACACACATATTTTGGCAGAAAACAACAGACTGTTGGAGTTCAGCCTGTGATTGTGTTTCAGGATCAGGGTGCTTTGGATGTGGGGAATGATGTAAATGAGGTTCAAGATGGCAATGGTTTGGTCAGTGATATTGATGCAGAGAATGACATAGAGACACCTGTTCAAAGTGTAGTTTCCCGTGATAATGTTCCTACAGGGTTCCTGAATTGCTCCCAGAGAGTTCCCAGGATTGGGGGCTTCAAAACAACTCGGCACCTGCAGAAACTAATGAGCACATAGATAGGCAGGCGGAAATTAGTCAAAACAGACAGGCCAAGCATGGCCTTCGGTGTTCTGCCAGGCTTCAACAGAAAAAGATAATGGCTGCTCAGGAAAAGCTAAACCAGTTTCTGAGTGCTTGGAAAGGATTAGAAGTTCCAAGCATGGAAAAAAATTATTCAGACAAAGCATCATTTAGAAACCTGCTAAGTTCTTGTCCTAATCTCATAGAAGCCTTGCTTGGAAGATTCATGCTTAAAGATTTCTTGTTTCCTGGTTTGGTTTATTGTCTCTTATGATTACCTGCTCATGCCTTGGATCAACATTTCCTGGTTCTTTCGATTTTGTTAGAGACTTGTTCACTTTGCTTTTGGACTTTGCTGAACTC